CGAATGGATGGCAGGGACATTTTTCATGCCACAAGATGTAAAGTCACATGCTGCATTACACAAGCTTGGTTGCATTCTGAGTAACTAGCTGAGCTATTCTAGAACATAATCTTTTGTTAGACTCTTTAATGTGGTTTCCTTCCTGTAGCTGTTTAGGCAAAGCTCCACATGGAAGCCTACTATTCAAAATGAGGAGAGCCAGCATGACAGTGCAACATTGACTCACTGGATTGGAAATGAGGGACAGGTCAGGAAATAAAGGGTCAAGATAGATTAATACTAGGGGACTGCATCCATCAGTGCTAACATCCCTGTTGTTATGGAACCTACAGACAATTTAGATGAAGAAGAGTTTGCCAATAAAGGGCTATAAATAACAGAGCTGCAGTCAGATATGCTGCAACAGAGCAAGGGTAATTTAATCAGCTGAGCTAATACATGGCAATATGAGGAGCTGGATCCTGCCAAGTGCTGAGTATCTGCAAAGGTAAGGATGCTAGTACTTTATTTAAGCAGGTTCAAAGGGTTAGATTGAAAGGAGACATACCTAATACCATAAAATCAGGATTAAATAATTATCCTCCATCCTTTAGCACAGGGTCCCCTGAAATTTACTCTGGCAGAAGTGACTAATGCAGTCGATGCCAAAGTAGCCAGATCCTCTACTGAATGATCCAGCACTATGTCACTAGCAAATCAGAATAAATGGAGGAAGAGCCCAAATGAATGCAGTTGGCTCCAGGGTAGCTAATGTCAGTCTAGGACAGGAGTTCTCAAAGTAGTCCATCTTTAGCACAGGGTCCCCTGAAATTTACTCTGGCAGAAGTGACTAATGCAGTCGATGCCAAAGTAGCCAGATCCTCTACTGAATGATCCAGCACTATGTCACTAGCAAATCAGAATAAATGGAGGAAGAGCCCAAATGAATGCAGTTGGCTCCAGGGTAGCTAATGTCAGTCTAGGACAGGAGTTCTCAAAGTAGTCCACGGCCACCTCCCAGGTGGTCCACGGCTCAAGCTCGGCTCTCCATCTCCCCCACACAGCAGGGAGGCCACTCTGCCACTCAAGCCTACTGGTCGGAGGGCATGCGGGTGATAGTGGGGAGGTGAAGAAAGCAAGCTCATCACCCCTCCCTCTCTCATGCAGGCTGCAGAGCTACAGGTGGAGAAATGCCACCCCACCCCCCTCCATTGCAAAGTCCCATTGCACGCAGGTTGGGCTCCGTGGGGCCCGG